GGTGTGTTGTGAAGTTTCTTTAAAAAAAAGAAGAAAAAGAGCCAGCACAGTGAAAACATAGGAAAAGAAAAAGAAAATACTGAATTTAAAATGCATAGCAGGGTTAATAAAGTTAGTGCATAAAAAGGCACTTATTGATTATCACACATAATTACTACGATTTCAGTCTTGACTTAAAAAAGGCGCACCTTTCACCGGTGCTTCAAGTTCTTCAAATTTAAATGAGCAAGAATAGTTTGATTGCTAAGTAAGGAGAATGGTGATTTATGATTTGTATTAAAAGAAAATGTCTAAAATTGCAATAAGGACTCATTTTTTCCATCTGGAAGTCAGTCAAATGGCACAAAAATGAAATAAATCCCAACTGCTTTCTGTTTCTCATTTGGGCAATAACTTGCCGTAGTGCAGTGGCTTGAAACATTCGTCAACAAATCAATACTAAAATGGTAAAAATGTAAACTCAGAGATTCAAACATGAGCATAATTTTGGCAAATCAAAGCATGACTCATAAGTTGTCGTACATGCTGATAAATGAAAAGGCGAAGCATTGCTTTCCTGTTAAAAATAACCCCCTTATCGTCTTGTTGGCTTTAAATCCTTGTGACTCTCTTAATGCTACTGAAGACGACCAACACACACATACACACAATGCAGCAAAAACTGATAAAAATGAGGAATAACATGATCATAATGATGAGAAAAGGTCTTTTTTTTTTACATTTTGAACAACACTTGGATCAGCCAGTAACACATTTATCAAGTGAAATAGTTCCAGTCAGTTTTGATGTTGTGATCTGTAATGCATTTGCCTAAAAGTAAAAGTGTTTGAAACTAATTCTGTCCCTCTGTCAGTCAGACTGCTGTCTCTCTGCTGGCTTTTAGATTGGGAGCGGACAATTGCCTGCGCATTCGTGGAGGCGGCTGAAAGCTGAAAGGGGGGTTCGCATGGTCGGCGTGGTGGTACTGCTGGTAGCCGCCGAAGCCGCCGTCTGTGTACATCATGCCGTTGTAGTGGCACGGCGGATGCTGGTAGTGAGGTGGCGGCTGTGCTGGTGGGTTGGGGTGGTAGAAAGCCTGCGTGTGTCTCCTGTTTTCGGGCGGCTGCAGAGACTCCATGGATCCCGTAGGCCGCTGGCGGTGGTTAAAAGAGTTGCTGCGGCCGCGTTCATGCGGCTGTTGGTTGTTCCTATGGTTTTGTCTGTGGCCCTGGTTTAAACCTTGCTCCGAGTCTCTACGGCGATGAACTGAAGGGATCGGCAGAGGCGGGGTGAGGTGGACGACTGAGGCAGCCATCTTGTCTCTGGGCTGTACTGCTTCTTCAGCAGGGCTTTCTCCTTCCTCTTCCTCTACAGCTTCTTTGGGCACCTTTAGCTCTATAACTTGCTGGTCTGTAATAATTATATGAGTACCTGGACTCCATGAGTTGCGGTGCTTCGGGTTACTTTTGAAGGGGAAGCGCAGCTTACGGTCTTCTGGTGGTATAAAGCGGTGAGGTCCAGGATGTCGGCGGAGCTGCTTGGAGATTTCTTGCTGCTGGAGGTTCTTGAGGCGTACCTGCTCTTGGCGCATCCAGCGCATGTGACCTCGCTTTATGGTGGAGTCGTCCCCTGCGCTTTGGCATTTTTGTGCATCCAGGTCCTTCTCCTCAGGCTTCTCCTGCACCAGAGATTTTTCTTCCAGAGGGCTTGGGGTTCTAGTTGCACTAGAGGGAGCTCCTGCCACGGGAGGCTTTTCTTGGCCCTCTGGGGTGATGAGAGGAAGTACCTTTTCCATTTTCACCATTTTATTCCTGAGAGCACGGATTTCCTCGTCCTTCATGTTATTCTGCTTCTTCACCTCCTGCAGGATGTCCTCTAGTTTGTCAATGTGCACTTTGAGATCGTCCATCACTACTCCTCCGGGCCGAGCGCCATTTGTTATGACGTCCTCGATGCGCTCGTCGCCGACTCCCACAGTGTCCCAAACATCCCGAGCCACTGCCCTCCACGAGTCCCGCTCATTGGGGTCCTTCTTGCAGTAGCTCGCACAGAGCTCTTTCATCTTCACGATAGCCAGAGCCTCAATCTCCTGTCGTGTGTGGCGGAAATCATTCAGTGCTACCTCGTAACAGATCTCTTTCACCGCCTGGATCTTCAGGTCAGAGATGGTCACCCACTTGGAGTCCTTGGTGATGCGCCGGCGTTGGGGGATCTGGTACATTTTAACTGGTTCTCTTTTTTTCCCACTGCTGGGTAAGCCACATTTTTTCACTATGGTTTGCAGCTTGCTGGGTGGCAGCTTTTCCCTCAGGGAAGTGATCAGTCTCCAGCTCTCTTCACAAGACCGCTTATCTGAGTCATCCCCACTATCAGAGTCTCCATCCTTGAGAAAACAACAAACCAAAATGGTTCCCAAAAAAAGGAGAAATTACAATGGGAAATAAGGGAGAGGATGAAAGAATGGTTAAAAAAAAAGAATGACTACAAAAAAAGGTATGAATATGCAACATGGGAACCTAAACCTAGAGCAAAGTAGGAGTCATGGGCCAATTATAGAGAATTTCACTGGATTTGTAGGACTTTTTTTCCAAACAAATACTTTTTATAAATTATATTCTATGTATTTAGCCATAGGAATGTCCTGATCAAAGGAATGCATCAGACTTTGGTTGCAATCTGTTCTGATTAAATGGCCAGTGTTTTCTCATCAGGTGAGTCTCTGAATAAACTCATCTCACAATATCCGTTTTACTGTCTGTGATTGTGAAAACAAAGACTAGGAAAACTAGACTAGCTAGATTAATGAGCTTGGTGTGCTCAGATATTCACATGTATTAAAGAGCAAATTGACAAGTTTATGAAGTAATACAACTGCTCCTGAAAGCTTTCTGCACTAAATTCTTACAAGCCAAATTACCGGTAACGTATAAAACCAAAACTCTCTGAAAACATGTTAAAATTGGCCAATAAATTCAGAAAACCTCTTTACACCATAACCTTGTTCACAAGATTTAAATTTAAATTGACCAAAAACTGTGTCCACAAAATAACCCTAGTCAGAGAACTGAACCCTGCAATATCCAGAGCATCATTGATGATAAATAATAATGGAATATATTAATGCATGTAATAGTGTTTGACTGTATTTTAAAGATGCTGAATTTTCAAACATGTCTACAGAATTGATATTGGACATGGTATACATAAGTGCCTGCTCTTAAATGACAACAAATCATGATCAGGACATCCCTACATTGCATACATCGCAACGGTAAAAGATGTATGGCGCCATGCAGAGTCACCTCAGTAATTTCACTCAAACTCAAGATGGAAAAGAAATTCAAATGCAACAGTGGCTTCATTGACATTCTTCTCAGTTTTTCAGTATCTTTACCACTTAAACGGCCACAGTGGTATGAATTTATGTTTTGGTTTTTTTAGTAATTGGGAGCAAATTTTCAGATGATTGTTTTTCCTTTGTTGCATATTAATAATAAAAGTAAAAGCATGTCTATAATGATCAGAAAGGAAATAACAGATGATAGTTGCTGGTTGGAGTACTTCTCTAATGATTTGTGATATTCCTCTTCTTAATTGAAAGTTTTACGATTTGACAGCTGGATCCCAAACATGCGTCAGCGGCATGCACATAGGTGGACTTTGGAGCCTTAGTCCAGAAGGTTTGAGTGGCTTTAGTGTTAGTGGTGAGTTAGAAGACAAGAGTGTTGTTGCAGCTGATCAGAAAGTCAGTAGAGAAGACGACCAGAAGTGAAGGCAAGTGTTAATCCACTACAAAAAAGTTGTTAGTTGGAAAAACAAAATGCAGTTTCTCATTTTTTTATTTTTTTTTTGTAGACAACAGACATTACAGATCACAACCAGTCGGCACTGACGGTCAGTCTTTATGTGTGTGAGACTATGCCTGAAGCCAGAAATGGGCATGTGATGTCTCTGGTAAAGCGATACTTTAATGGCTGATGCTTTTTGCAGATGATCCCACCGAAATATGAGAAAGGTCTTTGTGTCGTTTAACTGTGAGCAGCGAGAACTCCATTGTGAAGCCGCGCCCTCAGTGCACTACGCTAACAAAGAGAGGTAGCCAAAGAAGTCAATGAGAAACCACATTGTCACTATCTGTCAAAAAAAATAAATCTACAGCAGGAATATTTTAGTTATCACAATGCATTGAAATACGTCAGCAACTGCATTGAAGAGATGAAACTCAGGACAAAAACCAGAGCAAGAAAACTAGAGGAGAGCTCTAATCCAAGCAAATCAACAGTCACTTCAAAGAGTTGAACAGCTCAGCGGTAAACACTGCAACTTAGTCCAGAACCAGTAGGAGTTAAGAAAACATGCTAATAACGTGAACCATGCAAAAGCAGCATCTTTTCAGAAGAGAAGGAAAACCTGTGGTTTAGTAACACCAAGTATTTGGTTTAAAAAGATTTTGTTTTTTTCATATCAAATCTGATTCATCTTCAAGGTGCTGTTTTGCAAGACTCAGATCCACTATCAGAAACATAAGAAAGGTGGGAAATGGGGAATTTGGAAAGTTGAGCAATCTAAGTCTTGATCGACTTTCTATGGAAAAATTTCAGTTAAACTCAGAAACGGACACAAATGAAAAGCTCATCTGTCTCAAACCAGAAAACTTCCATGCAAGAAGAACAGACATGCACCAGAAGTAAAAATGTAATTCACACACTCAGTACACAAGTGTCAAGAGTGAAAATTTGTTTAACTGAGGCTTAAAGGTCCCAATTTAAAATAGTATTTAAGAAACTAAGCAGAGCTTGGAAAGACCTAGTTTTGCATTTTCAATGTGGAAATACATTTTTCTCAAAAATCGCACACAAAACAACCCAAATTAGGTAAGTAAGTCAAGAAGCTGCTTCTAGCTAAAACAAAATTATCTTAAAATAAAAAGTAATATAAAAACCCACTGAGCACTAGTCTCTCTCAAACATTTTTAGGAAAGTCAAGTGGGTCTTGATTTTTTCCATCTTATCCCAACTCACCAATCGCTGTTGCTCCAGAAGCTGGTCCGCTTCTTCCTTCTCCTTTTTGTACAAAATTTCCATCTCGGTGAGCCTTCATAGGTGCAGAAAGTAGGTTGTGATAAAGTCAGACAAAAACAAAAACCAAGACCTTCCAAAAAATGAATGAAGGATGGCTCCAATACCTTTTCTCCATTTCCTGCTTCATGTCGATGCCCTGTTTCTCCAGGAGCTCTCGCTGAGCAAACGTCCAGTCCACAGGCTCGACGGGGGTCTCAGCGGTCGGCGTTTTCTCCCGTTCAGCTCGAGCCTGCTCCGGGTGATTAAAGCGGAACACGTGGTTCTTTCCCATAATGATGCGGTTGCCTGAGCAAAGGTGGATTCCAGGAGAAAGTTAACCAAACATGAACATCTCAAAAAAAAAAAACTACCCAAAACTACTACTACACAGATTCCAAAACATTTACTTTTCTAATTTCAATCGACAAAATAAAAAAACAAAGGACACATACCTGAACGAAGCTGGATTGCTTCCTCAACACGTTTGCCATTGACATAGGTTTCAGATCCCTCACATGGCACCAACATGACAATAACTTCAGAGTAGAAAAAAATAAACAATTATCAGACTTAATAAAATCAAAACTGAGTCAAAGAGTAATGGGTTTATGTTCTGATTTTAGACAATGACAGTCTATTTTTTTGCAACATTTATTAATTAACCACTTTTATTCACTTACAACACATGTACGGTAGCATCTGAGTGTATTTCTGGTGCAAATGAAATTCAAAACATTTAATTTTAGCTTGGTTTATTGCTCCCCAAATTATTTTTATTTGTAGTTTTTCCACTTTTATAAGATGTGGTCAAATGTTAAAACAAAGTACTGAGATAAAAATACACCAAAAAACATTGTGAGAAGAAAAACATTAACTTAATTTGACAAAGTTTTAGTTTTAAGTGCTTCCATCTTTAAAAAAAAAATCTACACCTTTCATCTACAACCCATTGTACACCATAATAAACAAACACAAACATTAAACAAACTGAGAAGAAAAATGATTGAGGTCCCACCATCTCCATTGGCATTTCTTTCGCTTCGGAAGATGCAGTGTTCTTCCTTGATGTGAGCTCCACTTAGTACAATGTCCTGCCTCCTCTCAGCGTCAGCCTGACCCACCCTGTCACAAATACAGAGTCCATTTTGAGAGACAAGGTCTTCTGTTTCGTTGTCAACCATTTAGAAAATGTAGCAGATGTCAATTAGACCCACTAAAGCAACACATGCAAGCGGCTAGATGTGAAGTGTAATGTTCTCATCAGTCAATGCCCCGCCCCAGCAGAGGAATAATGTAACCAAATATTTCAAAACAATAGTCTACCAAAAGGACAAGGAGAGGACAGTCATATAAGATGGAATAAAATGCTGGCCGTGCCAGATTTTAAGCCTCCGACTTCTTAGGTTTCCCTTGCTAGACATAAAACTTTAGAGAATGTGCAGATCCTCTGAAACATGTAGGTCTTATTATTCAGGTTTTGGTTACCTTGTAATCCCATCTTTGATATAGTAGAGCAGACACTCAGACATTAGAGGATCCTCATTCAGGTTGACCAGGTGTGGAGTCTGAAGATGAACAGAAAGGAAAAAAGAATAAAGATCACCACAAAAAAAAAAACCTTTCACCAGCTTCAGGCAGCTGTTCTACATCTTCTGTCACATCAGGGAAAAAAATAACAATTGTGGTTTTCTAAAGTATCTGATGCATCACAAATGGACTACGGGTGATCCTACAAATCCAAATCCAAACCAACCTTCTTTGGGGAAAACACCCCATTAAAGTCTGTATAGAGATCACAAGGCTTCTCTCTGAAATGCTAACCCATGGAAAGGAAGACAGCAAAAGGACAGAAATTTCAGTAAAAGAAATTGAATATGAAGATCTGAACAGAAAAGCAAAGCAGAAAATAATGTGCAGCAGTCAGGCACTATTTCTCTAAAACACAACATTTGGAAGAGGTTTGTAAATCCAAAGCTGATTATTATTTTGATTTTGTTAACAATTGCACACAAACATAAATTGGAGTTTTTACTGGCACCACACACTGCTGCTTCTACTTTCAGGGGAGATGAGGCAAATGGAAAGCCTTGTAAGGCTAATAGCTTAAATAAGAGACTTTGGCAGTAAAAGGTCTGAATCATCAGCATGGAACAGCGCAGCATTTTTAAATAATACACCACTGTAAATGATCTGACTTCTAACTAAAAACAAGTCATAGAAGCATAAAAGTTTAGTTCTCAACCATGGGAACAAGCACAGAATAGCTACTACATTAAGACCTCTAGTTCTAGGAACCAATCTACTGCTGGAAAGATACTTTTGTCTAATCATTCAACTAAACAAACCTTCTTGGCAGAAAAGCAATCAAATTGCTCATCTAATGCCCCGTCACAGCTAAGCTGAGTAGGGGGAAAAAAAAGAAAAAAGAAAGTGGAAAGAATGACAGAATGACCAAGTGGATTGTGAGAGAAATGCTGACAGTAAAGGGAGGGCTCTCTTGGGAGGAAAAGATAAGATGGAAAACAGAAGTGATGGGAGACAAGGCAAGTATCCACACCCAGAGGAATTATTATGACTTATTTCCCCTCCATCAGTGCCCGCTCAGCATGTCATCGTTTCCTTCCCTACCTTTTTAGGAGAGAACACGCCCAAAGTGCCTCCATCTTCACGGATTGCCACGCCCATCTCTGCAAGCAGGGCCTCCCTGTAATGAAGACAACATGTATGTATGTATACTCAGAAACAGCATTGCATATATATACAAGGACTTCATAAAGCATGTTACAAGGACTTCATAAAGCATGTTACACATCTTTCTGATGTCTTTAATTTCATAAAAGAAATATTAAATAAGAACTGGAAGAGGATGAGATATAACACTATACTAGAGTAAGTGATTTTGTTTGACTCAAAGGATGGACAGCAGCAGGACTGCAGCCACAGATGAGTGGATAAAGGAGTGAAAAAAAAGTGCAAGAAGGGTGTGCAGCAGCTCAAGGCAACCAAGACAGGGGAAATGGACAGAATTGGTGCAGCGGAAAGTGAGAAAAGCAGCAAAGAGGAATGAAGAGACAGTAAGTAGCAAGAGGTCTGATTGCAAGTTCTAAAGATTTAATGTCAGATAATGCTGAAAATTAAAGCCATTAAAATGTAAGCAAGAAGAAAGAAAAATGAGCAGTCGCGACAGCAGGGGGACGCGTCATTTACAAACAGGGCATTTTCCACTGAGCTCTCCAGGGAGACGTCAAGAAAACCACATTTAGCTTTACACACAATAATATAAAACAAATAAATAAAAAAAACACTGTTTCAAGCAACAGATTAATAGATGAAAGCAAAAAAAGAAAGAGATTTGTGTGAGACAAACAACGGCTGTCACATCCACACATAAAACCCAGCAGGAAATAGGCCTGCACAGCGGATTGCCTGATTGGGAAAGTCAAACACAAACAGCGTCTGACGTCACGGATGTGTGGGGGCTGCTTTTCAAAGCCGTCACACCAGCCGACGCGCATCGAAGGCAGACTATGAATCCCAATTAGGTCTGACGGCGTGGATGCACATGGAGAACACGCACTCCTTTTCCCCCCTTTCAGCATATGCATATGGAAATGAAAATACAGCGTCTGATTGTACTGACCTCTCCATGCGGATTGCCTCTGTCTTCCGTAGTTTCTCCTCCCAGGTTTCATTGAGCTCAGCAATGATCTTTTCTGATTCCTAAAAACAGAAGTGGAAAAAAAAATTACAGCTTAGCGTATTTTAGTTAAACAAACCTCTTTGTGGGCTTACTCTGATCTACGAGTAAAAAACAACTTTAATTATTTAGGCTGAGGCATTTTCTTTTGAAATTAAAAGGGAGTAAATTTGAACTCTGAAAGCAGGTCAAATTGTTACATTTTGCAGTCATTGGCTTTTTATTAAAACATCATAACAGTAAATATTTAATGAAGCAGCTCACAAGCAGACAGTGTAAAAACAGTGCTGGGGAGAATCACATTTATAAGAGGCATACATGTTGACCTTCACTAAAATGTTTATTGTTTTCATTCAACAAAACAAGATGATGTGCCTCACTGTGATTGCTACGAGCCAATAAGAATTGAATCTATTTTCGTCTTATTTCCTCTGTATTTGCGTCGGTGCTTGACGTCACTGGGATGACAGACAGATTGGGAGCCATGGTTGACATGGAAACTGCAGCTCCAGCTCAAGGCGGACTCTTGCAGCCTCTGTGTTGTTACCTTGTCTAAACAGCAAGAGCATACACAGGAGCGTAGGAGCAATATGAAGCTCCGAGAGGACACACGTGGATCTAGATGAGGAGTTTTATCGGTGTGGGGGCTAAGATTGAAGCCTTGGTATTCAGATATTAAACAATATTATTAAAAGCAAAAGGTGTGGTATTAAGATTTTTACTTGAAGCCGATTTCAAATTTGGAAGCTTAAAAATTACCCTCCGCTTCTTGGTAGCGTGCAGATGAAGTGAGCTGTGGTTTACTTACGCTTTATCTATTGCAGGAGCACAAGTGCTATTTACTCCAATTACCTTGAGTCTTTCAATGGCCTCCTCCCCTCCAGGTGTGGACATGATGCGTTCTTGGATGCTGGTGACCGACTGAAGACCCCCCTGGTTGCACAATGCGCCAGAGGACGGAGAAGCTGTCAGGGAACCAATAGGGGCTGTGGAGAAATGGCCAGGGCGTTGGTTCTCTGAGGCTATCAAGTATCTATTCTTATTGTTTTGAATGTCTTTGAGGTCTGAGCCAGCAACAAGAAAGAGAGAAAGATAGAAGTAGGGGGAGGCCCAGGGTTTAGGTTGGAGGGAGTAAACACATAAATGAAAGAACCAAACATTAAATAGGAAGATAAAGGGAAATAGAAAGATTTGGGTGGGGGGGAGAAAGGACACAGGAGGGGAAAGACCAATGTAAGACACACATTTTACATCAGAGGGATAAGACAAACAACCACAATGCAAATTATCTACAGAAAGCAGCAGCAGTTTTCACTCTAGGAGATTCACTGGTCCCATTCAACACCATTCAGAGAAGAATGACTGGAGCTCAGCATCCACTCAGATCCACTACTAGTTTAAATATGAGTCAGCATTACAGACCCTGTGTGAAAACTGCTGTTAATTTATTAACTACAGGATGGAAGAGAGATGGAGACTGCAAAAGAGTGCAAGAGAAACCAACAGACATGCTGCCAAAGTCCAGCCTGCAGATTGGTTGATTAATTTTCTCTGCACATGCAGTCGCAGAGCCAGAAACACAGCAAAGCTGCAGCTGCCTCACTGGAAGGTTAAAATGATGGCCATGAAGTTAATTAAGGTTCTCCAGGAGATCCAAACATTCAAAAAGAGGATAAAATTAGTAGTGATTATCTCACGTGGGGCATTTAGGCTTTGTTAAAACAGAAAACATTACATTAAAAAAACTGAGTAGCAGAAATGATTCATTGTTATTTACGTTTTGAACATGAATTATTTTCCAAGCTAATTGATGTACTTATAATTGCTTAAAATCTACAGTTTCAATGCAAGTCTTCCAGCCAACATAAGTTCACCAAGATGATTTATATACAACTTTATTCAATAAGTTCCTACTTGAAACAAAAACCTGTTACAGGTTAAGGATAATCAACTCACTGCTCATGGAGTCAACATTAGCTTAGCTGTCTAGCTGGAAACAACTATGTGATCCATGTTTAAACCGTACAAGCTAAACTTATCAGTTTCTTTATGAATTATTATAACATTTTTTCTTTGAACCCATTAACTAGTCCACTTGCAGAACTTTATATAAAGCTACATGGCAGCAATTGATAGTAAATTTTTAAAACTCAATAACTACAATAGCTAAAGCAATTAGCTTTAGTCTTACTAGCAACCTCCATTTTTCTTTTAACACTTTTGTGTATAGCTAATACACAAGAGCATATTAGCTATACACTTCTGTGTATAGCTAATGAAGTGAGGAAAGATGGCCATGTTGCTAATATTGCTTAGTTCGTTAGCAATTGTTTGTCAGTGAAGAAGAAAAAACTGATTAACTTTTACTCAAAAATTTGCAACGTTTTCATGTTCCTATGTATAAAACCAAAAAAACAAGGATGTGACAATTAAATTTTGAAATCGAACAACTTTTGAATTTCCTAAACTTTACACCACTCATTACACAGAGCAAGTGAGTGACGACTTTTGGTTCCATTTCCAGAGAGAGGGCAGAGGTGTGTTAGCAGAGGGCACACTACAAAATTATTCAAACTATTAAAGCACTCTACGTTAGTCAACTCCATGTACATACACACTTCTGAAGCGGCTACTTATAAGTAAAAGTATATGCACCTTTCCGTATGTAGATCTGAGCCTCGCTTTGAGAACTCAGAAGTGCCATTCTAAAGCTTTGAGCAGTGTCACCTGCGGTGGATGATTAGTGAAAGAAAACAGAATAAAAAGCAGCAAGAGCCACTGGCAACAAAAAAGAAGCGTCAGACAGTGAGTGAGAGAAGGTGACACATGATTATAAAATGATCCATGGCGGAGACTGATGTACTACTTTAAATTTATACATAGAAGGATTTAAACCTGCAAAAAAAGCAGCTGCCTCACCCCGTCATTCTAAAAAAAATAACAGAAGAGCAAGCACGAAGCATAGTAACCTACTGGCATGCTAACCTTTGTCAAATCAGATCACCTCCAAAAGCCTTGCATTTCTGAGTCTCATTTCTTAAGCCATTTATGGCTTTTAAGCAAATGCATGCAAAGCTGGCAGCAGACTTAATATATAAGCAGTGGGGGTCCTAAGCAATTAGCCTTTAGAATTTTGGCAAATAGTGATATACAAAGCATAACTGGCACATATACACACATTTGATTCCACTTCCTGGGTAATCATCCCCCATTGGATCAACTAAGGGAGGGAGCAGGAACAGATGAGAAGGATCAGAAGTCAGTGAGAGTATGAGAAGAATAACTTGGAAAAATATTTTAGCGCTAAATGGAAACGATGACAAGGATGAGACGCAAGGTCATAGACTGACTGGTTAGGTGCCAAGTTGTTACACAAGATATAAGCAAACATTAGCAAGTAGGCAGTTTGTTATACATTGCGACACTTGGTAATTATTCATGCTGACACTGCTGTCTTTTTCCTAATTGACGGGCCTGTGAGCCATTAATCTTGTGTGTAGCTAATGAACTGAGATATTTCCATCTGGTTTACTTTATGTTGTTAGGCACATTAGAGGAAAGCATACTTTCCATCAGGAACCCAAGTACCCATTTCAAAGAAGAAAATAATAAATCAATACCTACCAATCAAAGCGTATTTTGAAAGCATATTATTCTGAATTAAGCACAAGTACAGACACTTGGTAGGAGGGAACGTGAACGGCACAGAGCTTTGAGACAGTAATGAACAGAGAAGTTGTTGCCAGCTTGGTGGAGGCAGTGGCTGAACAGTGTGGCTGTGCACTCACTGTCCAGGATGTCTCCCAAGCCCTGAGCCCGGAGCAGCTCCTTCAGTCGGGCCACTTCGTCCTTCAGCTCACGCACCAACTTATTGTTGGGATCCTCATTGATAACAGCGTTGCATTTGATGTTCTTGGCTCGGTCAGCGTAGCTACCAAAAAAGAAAAACAATCCCCATCAGGATTTATTTGAGTTTCAGCTTTATGTGAGCTCATGGCAATAATCTTACCGAAGTGTACTGAGCGTTTCATCGTAGTTGATATCTGCAGGACTGAGGGCAGCTACCATGGCTGTTCTTGAATTACCACCTGATGAGAAACATTGAGGAGGCACTTCAGTCATTACTTTGAATTTTTTTTTTCCCACTACAGTAAATTAAATAGTAAAATTTATAGAATCAAAGAAGGGCTGAAGATGCACTCTGTGCTCTTTAAATGCCTCTTCCGAAGATAGAAGGAGCTTCTCGTATTATTAGTTTGAAATACAGTCTGCTGACAGTGTTCCTCTTAAACTTGGCTCAGGGTAAGGCACACTTGCTCCGGATATTTTTTTTTTTCTTTTGTATATTGCCGCTTCAGTTTCTGTTACACAAATGGGTCACTTGCTATGCAAAAATAAAGACTTCAAAAAACGTGAGAGGTGAAGATTTCAACAGATTAGCACATTTATCGAGCATCACTAAGGTTCATACCAAGGTTCTCCCTCAGGAGCCAGGTCAGAACAGAATCTCTGTAAGGGATGAAGTCCGTCTTTTTCTTTTTCTTGCTCTGCAAAGGAACAAAATTGCTCAAATTAAAGCTGGGAAATAGGTTTTAAGAAATTCTCAATATAATGATGTTTCATAAAAAATAAAAAAAAACTGCTGTGAATCACAATACAGGCAGAAAACTATTCTAATGAATATCAGCATAATTTTGCGTGTTGCCTAAAAGCACTGAACATTAGATGATGAAACAGGAACAGTTGAGTCTGTGCAACTTTATTAACAGTATGAACATCAATGAATGATTGTTTTTTTTTTTGGACATTTGTCCTTTAGCTGCCAAAGTGTTTACCTTGCTGGTACAGTTATCCTGTGTAAGCAGGCATTGAAAGGACAAGAGGAGAGAAAACAGAGGGGCAGACATTACAGCATGCCAGGTGACAAACACGCCCCCAGAATGCAGGGTCAAGTTCAAGAGAGGAAAGTAAGGCTGTAGGAGGAGGAACGAATTGGCAGAAAATGGAAAGTCAGGCATAAAGTACTTACCACTTCAGCCAAGGCAGAGATGACTTTCCCTAATGTGGTGAGAGATTTGTTGATATTTGCTCCCTCCTGCAATAAAATAAAACATATTAATTAGGACGCATGGGGATGATATCCACTCTCTGATTGGTGATGCTTTGTGCCACTTTAGATGAGACTCTTACCTTCAGTCTGGTACCTTTGGCTCCAGTGGAATCTGCACGTTCACTTCCTGCCAAGTCTACCAGACTAATTTTACTGACCTGAAGAGAGAGTGTAAATCTATAAGATGCCAGACTTTATAAATAAATTAGATTTGCATTAAGGAAGTCTAAAGGGTGCTAGGCTATGATATGACAAAAAACAAATAGATTTTTCGTCACACATTTTGATAATGTGCGTCGATACAAGAGGTTTTGATGAAATAATGATACATCTCTGATACATCTCTGAGTGATTGTGTTTTCTATGTTTGAACATAGAAAACACAATCACTCTTATACAATTTAGTCAGTGATTATAATGTCAGAAACATGATGCAGAACTAAAACTGAACGAAACATGATCACCAGATCAGATCAGAGTTAGTCTGACCTAAACATAGCACTTTAAACCAGAGATTACTGACATAATAAGAAGACCAAGTATTACAGAGAAATATCTACAACATTAACATTTATGAAGCAAGTGGTTAAAATTCATCCAAATACACACTTAAGCATTCCTGTTTGGTGAGATGCAGCCTGGCAGTAAAAACCGATAGAGTGGCTGGAAACAATGGCCATTGTTTTCAAAATAACAGCAATCTTTGTGTCTTTACAGCGTCAGAGGAAATGCTGGAAGTTAAATCTAAAATGGCTCCATTTCCCCCCCTTCTCCATTCATGGCTGAATTAAGCCATTTTCACAAATTCACTACAGAATGTAAATTTTCTGAACAGCTGTTTAAGTCAGTCTGGCAAAAGCAAAAGTAATTTTTTTCTTAAATTATAATACATCCTAGAAACTATTAAAAACTCCAATGTAAAGTAAACATTTAATAAAAAACTGCTTCTCCTACTTTAATTTCATAGAGGGTACCAACAATCACGCCACCATCAATTCTGTTAAAAACAATGAACTCTCAACATTTAACCACAGAGGATGAATGTTTCTAAGTATTGCGAAGGGTTACTGCCTGGTCTGACCTTTTCTGTGGTGAGGTCCGTCTCGCTGTCATGTTTCTTCTGTGTGAAGACGATGGTGAAAACTGCATGGGACCTGCTGCTGGTCTCGTTCATGTTTGTAGCAGCAACAGTTCTGTGTGTAAGCACACAGGGCATTGTTACCAAATCACATCAAAACAGACATTATACTGATGCTACCTCTATTAAATTAGTGCCTGTGAAAAAGGCTGTATGAATAGTTTTGGGTGTTTCAAGCGCCATCATCTCTGGACTTTACACCTATTAGGGTGAATTGAGTCCAGGGGATTAGTTTGTGTAGCGGAGGGGGATAATATTGTGAGGACTCCATATAGAAAGTGTACAAGGCACACTGAGAAGAACGGCCACAAGGGAGACGCAGGCTTTACACGCCACGTTCTGGATATAAGCCCTCTGAGTCAGCAGAGGGAGATTAAAGCAGAGTTCACTCCTCCCCACAGCAGCTTTCACAACACAGCAGAACATCCATGTATTTCACATTCTGTAAGTTCTTCATGTGTGAAATGTTGGTTAGCAGTAAATGAATGAGAAGTGATTTAGCATAACTGGAGGACTCAGATCTAGCATCTTAAACTATTCAGTCAGTCACTTTAGCGTTGGGGTCAATATTGTTTTACCCATCATCCTATATATCCCCATCTTCCCTCATGTTTCACCTTGACATAGTCGCTTAACTCACCTTGCTTTGTTTCCTGCATCCATTAAATCAGCAATGTCTGTGTAGGATGTGACAGCTAGCTTGGACAGGTCCTCCACATAGGGACCCAGCAGCGGATGCTCTCGCACCCTCAGGTTCCCTTTGTTCTTAGGATTGAGCAAGTCTCGCACCCGTTCACAGTAGATCTCCATGTAACTCACCTAAAAATTTTTTACAAAATATGTCATTTTAAGTTTAAGCCTCAGCATTTATATTCTGGAAGCCAGAGGATTTTAAAACAGGTACATAAATCTATATTTGAAACTTTCTGGGAGAGAAAAGCCAAAAAAAAAAAAAAAAAACTGCTACATGTTGTCAGTAAGTCACCAGGTTGGCAAAAGTGGAATGACTATTGTAAATTGTAAATGTACCTCCACTGAGTAGGACAGTTCCTCTTTGTTGCAGTCTTCATTGATCTTCTCAAATAGATCTTCACAAAGCTGGAACCCAGAAAAAGAAGATTGTTGATTTACATTGACTGAATTTGGAAATAATAAACAGAAGGGAGAAAGAAAAAAAAACAAGTGAAAAGGGCAAACTATTTAACCACTTAATCAAATGATCTCAATGATTAATAAAAATGCACAGAGAGAATGTTTAAGAGAACACCTCTAATAATTCAGACAAAAAGTGTTGTTTTTAAAGGTGCAAAACCACTTTATTCTGTGTAAAGCAATCTTAAAAAAATGCAAACCATAGGAATGATTCCTTCCTGTCCCTCCTCCTGCTTGCCCATCATGGTGTAGGATTTGCCAGCTCCAGTCTGGCCATAGGCAAAGATGCAGACGTTGTAACCCTCGAAAGCATGCTCTAGCATTTCCTTTCCGATGTCGTTGTACACACGGTTCTGTGACGCAAAGCAGGGGTCTTCTGGCTGCAAGGTGGGACATAAAGCATTAGGATTTGCAACTGTTTAGGCTACTAATAGATATTAAAAATAAATTTTCCAGCAATCTGTATGTCTTACTCACCGTGGTGTGTGACCAGTAGGAGTAATCAAAGCTGAAGGTTTTTGCTGGTTCTTTGGGGGCTTTGGGGTTCAAGATAGCTGAGGAGATGATGGAAAAATCAGGAAAAAGGTTAAAAACATCTTGGGTGGTATGATTCGCCTATCACATCTTTATTCATACAGTTTCAAATAAAACCTACAGCGAGAGAGTAACATGTACAATGAAACCAAAGAATAAATTACATATTCCCTTCTACGGCTTTTAAATGTCAACTAAAAGTTTTAAATAAATCGATGCAGCATAGAAAATTTAAGAAAAATTTGTTAGTTTTAAAAATACTACCCGTTTACTACTACACTTTTTTTCTCTTTAATTAAAGTAAATAAAAATTTGAATCAGCAAGTCAGACCTCAAAAAAGGACCAGACATTTCTAATATGCATTTATCCAGAAATGCATATTATCCAGAAATGCATATCATCCAGAAATGCATATTATCCAGAAATGCTGCCTAAGAGGAGCTTTTGAATCCCAGCACCAGGCGTGATATATTTGAACTTAAAAGTCACGAGTCAGTGACACATTACATCTGCTTTTATCTTTTTTAGGGAACATGAAACGGTTCAAGGCTTCCCAACCAGCATGTCTTTGTTCTCTAATGAAAAAAGACACACTTGTGAAATAACTAATAGATTTGAGTAAACCTGTCGTAATAAGCAGTGAATCACATGAAAATTAAAATGGCCTCTATTATTTCTATTGTGATGATTAATATACTTTGAAGGGTGATTTTGTTTACCGTCTATCACAGTGATTTCTGGGATAGTTTATTTGCTATCACCTATCTTTTAGCACCAACATACTCAACTTCTTCTGAAATATTGCTTCAAACATGCTGACACGGTGTTTCCACACAGCGCAGCCGGTCCCCAAGGCCACACACACATTTCTGCTACCATGTCAGGTATGTCGCCCCCCTCAATCACGCTGGTTGGTACCCATAGGACAAGAGTCCTAGCTTCAAGGCTGCACGCTGTAAATGTTAATGTAATGCAGAAGGATGCTGCTGTTTATATGTACACACGCTACAGCAACCGAAAGCTTAAGAGTAAATGTTTGCTCGTCTTTAATTTAAAAACATTACAAGGGAGCCCAAACTATTATTACGAGCAAGATACTAAATGTGTGCATGCTGCGTTTATATTTGCAATCTTCCAGAAGAGGTGTGTAGTGCCAGCTCCAGGGCTGTAATTAGCGTTGTTGTATTTCATTGTGTCCTGAAGCTGATGAGCAAATTCGAGCCCCTTTGGCTACTTCAAAACAAGGTGCTTGAGAGGCTTTTTGCATTGAGAGTGCCTTACACGCTCAGAGGATTTCAGCGCACTTATCAATAATGCAGGAGAAGAGGAAGGGACAGGGATTGCATATCGCCCTCCATGGGTCACATCATGCTGACAGAAAAGCACTGCGTGTCCTCTGAGCTGCTTTGCATTTAATACGCAGCGTTTACGTCTGCACCGAAACGAGCTTTCTTTAAATAAAAACGATGCATTTGCTTCCGCGCTCTGCAAGTTTCAGGTTAAGGTGCTCGGCCGCTGCTTCCATATTGGGCCCTGGAAGAGGATACAGAGAGATGGGTGGCTAAATAAAGACCATTTCACCTCTGACCTGCCTCCGGAGGGAAACTGGAGAGTTGGCGTGAAGAAATCAAGGGGGGATTTAGGTTACCGATGCCCCTCTTGCCCTTTCCTGGAACAATCTACAGTTGCTATTAATGAGCTGCCAACCTTAGCTCGAGAGGCTACACAGCAATACGAATGGAAGATATTGGGACGGAAGAGCTTTGGTGGTAGGTGGATGGGAAAATCTCAACCTAGGGAATCAACAACTGCATTCCAGCAGGATAAATCACTTTCTGAAATTCCTAAAGAGCATTTCTGGATTCATATTAGAGGTATGGTGCTACTATTTAGAATAAAAAGGTATTCAATCATTCTTATGTAGCATGTTTGGCACTTTTGACCACCCAAAGCATAAAGTGAGTCATTACGTCAATGTATCAGATGAGTAGGGTCTTATTAATGAGAAAGATAGCAGGGGGGGTTTGATGCTATTGAACACAAAAGTAATAAAAAATATTCTTTTGGACCAGAAACCAGCATATAGCCTCTGATATTTTACAACTCACAACATACTTGGATGTTACAAATTGGCTGAATAAGAAAACAGACCCAGCGGGTCTGAAGTGAACGCAGACACATTTACCAGGAGTTGCACTCCTCCATCTTGAGACGGAAGACGCATTTTTGCTGCCTCATAAACAACGTCATAAAATCTGTCCCTCTCAACCATGGCAACAGGTATAGGACCAGACTCCGGTTGCCATAACAACTTCAACTTGGCAGAGTCGGGGAGGTGGGGTGGGTTGGAGGATGCGGCACGCTGCGTTCCCTTTTTCTCTCTCCTCTCCAGCTTTCCTCATCGCCGATCGCTGAAAATTGCTTTAAAATACAGATCTGTGAACAATGAGTGTCAATTTAAGTATGGATTTATGGCTTATGGCAGTTCCAACACAGGAAACGTACAGAAAAGCCGGTTCTGAAAAGCTGTGGGATTTGTAACTTAAGACATTAAGCCACTTATAGCGTCGGATCCCATAAGTGATGATAACTTTCTCTACGCAAGGCTTTTTAAATAAATCACTGATAGAAAAGGTGTGCAGGTGCAGCTGTTCATGTCATATACTTCATATATAGTTAGAATTCATCATTGATTTTTACTTTCTTTAAAGAATCCAGATATCATTGAGACAATTTATTCAGAGTATACTGAAATGTTATGTGATGAAAAACTACTAAAGGCCAAAAAAGGCCATGAGAAACCTTATTTTCTCCCAATTATAGCTGCACTGCATCCATAGATCCTGTCCAAAATTAGGACTGGGATTATGCGAGCACACCACAGGAGCTCTCTATTTCAAAGCAAGGTATGTAGCTGTTAACTAACCACATCCTGCCATCTAGAGAGCATCACTCAGCTGGTTATAGCTGGCAGACATTTTCTGCTACAGCGTACAACATGGGGTCTCATAATCCAAGCAGGAAAGCTTAGAAGAAAAAAAAAAAACACCTCCCTAATTAGGCTGTTAGGAGGTCTCCAAGCACCAGCTGGGGACTAAAAGCTTTCGCCTTTCACCTGAGACAGGCCGAGAGTCTAAAATGGCTGAACACATCAGCCTCTCTTTTCAAGCGAACCTCTAGGGAAGTGCTAGCTGTTCGCTCAGGCTGATCAATGCCAATTTGGGATCACAAGAAGGGGAGGGTGGCAGGAAGTAAACCCTCATGTAGACTTTAAAAGGAAACAAAGAAATGCCCAGCTAAAAACAGACAATGAAGAGGATCTGCAGTTATGTAGAACTGAAAGAAAAGAAAAAACAAGCAAACACCAAGGCGGCTGCAAGAACTGAACGCACGCTGCAGCTTAAGATGTTTGGTTCATGCGAGGAGTTTTAAGAGGGTCAGGCAGTTCCAGAAAATGTTCTGCTCAATGAGATGTCTGTTGCTGAATACAAAGCTTCTTAGTCTATCCTTACACACCAGCTGATATCGCAGTAATTCATTTGAACATTTCATTTCCCATGGCAACCTTATTTCATTTAGAGCGAAGGGAACCTGACTCCAGTTGCCACCGAGTTGGAGGAGGCAGCCAACACCATCGACACGTCTCCTGATCTCACATTAAAAGGACAGGTGAGACCCCCTTATGGACAATCCTGTGGCAGAAATACTGTCTTTTCAACCCAACGTCCACGTTTGAAGATGAAGTATCTCATTTAGATTTTCTCCTTCAACTCAATTCAATTAAGAGATCGGTAAAAACAGAACGATGAAACAAAAACTTTCTAAAAACCTGGTATATCTTGATGCAGCCCTTAACCATTGAGGGAGAAAACAGTCTAAGGATTTTCTTTTAGTGAAAAGAAAATTAAAGCACCTAATTAAAGCACGAGAACAAAATTTGAAGAATTTTTGACCTTCTATCATAAGTTAAGTATGAACATTTACTTCAACTCTGACTTTTTCCTGTCACCTCCCTGCTACCTCTGTGAATGACAAATGAGCCAATAACAAACTTCTTACAAACCCCACAAGAGCAACACAATCCTTCAGTAAGTGGCAACATGAGCATTTCATCCTGACACTGATTAAACCAGCAGGATACAAACATGAATAATTATGTGAGTAATACCAACAAAGTTTCGCAGGGTTGTTTCTTTCTGCTCAGAAAGTTTCCTTAATTGACCTTAACCACGGTGAGTTGTTAAGACATTTACTTGGCAACATGTTCAGCTGGCTGAAAGGAGACCAACACTTTCCCTTTGGGAATAAGGATGACGCAAAAAAATAAATGGATCAATTAATTTTATTATGAATTGAAATGAGCTTTGTAACTTCAATTTTATCCTACAAGATAAAATAATGCTGTTATCAATACATTAGAAAATGGTGTATTGCAAACCATATTAATTGAAAATGGTCTCAAAACAGCAATAGTATTGTTCATCACAATAATTTCTGGGACAATTTATGATTCAGTAAAATTTGTTTTCATGATGGCCCAACTTGTCCACAAGAAAGATTCACCTGTTTGGAAATAAGACAGAACAGTCGATGAAGGTGTGAAAACTAAAATAACTCAGGTAATGTTATTTTAAATGTAGAGTTACGAAGATATGGGCTGCATTGTAGAAGCAATCTTTTAAATAACAGCAATAAAACTGTGTTTCACATTTGTTAGATTTTTTTTTTCTGTAAGTAAAATTAAAACTGTTGAATTTTTACTCGGACTTATTCACAAATGCCTGTGACTAAAGCTGCAGAATGTCTCATTGTTATATCAATCTGTGCCAATCACAGATGTTCAAATGCAATATTTGGTAGATAAATTAGATTTCAAGTGCCATGCAGATACACACTACATGCTAAAGATACATTTGGCCAGTTGGACAAACCTTCATTATTCACAAGTAAGCTTGTTATTATACATTTGACAATAATATTGTTGTTTTAAGATCATTTTCAAGTAATATAAACTTTCAT